GGTCGCGACCAAATTTGGAGGGGTCAGAACGGATTAACCGCATTTACATTGAACCTTATGGGGAAATTTGATTCGGGTCGCGACCAATTTGGGTCGCGACCAGAGTCGTGGAATGAATTAAGTTCGTGAACCGAGGTACCACTGTATCTGTAAGACACTTTACTTTTTTCTTCTCCCAACACTTTTCTGAGGAAGGTATAAGAGCGAATTCCAGATTGTAAAACCACTTCTCCTTATCTGTAATTGAGGACTGCACACACACATAATCTGGATTTGGCAGGTAAAGGGTTTGAATCCTGATCAAGGCTATTAGTACCTAATCAATTGTTTCCATGGCTTTAAGCAAGTGTTGCCCTTTCTCCGGTTCTATTCATGAGAAATACCACTGATTTCATCTTTTTAATCTTTATAGATAGGTTTTCTAAGCAGCCTCTGTAAGGAACTCTGAACCAATAATTAAAAAAAAAACATTTTTTTTCTCCCTGGCGGACTCCCCCCCCCCAAAGTTAATTTTTTTGATACCAGTATCACCAAAGAAATAGCAAGACTACTTCTTTACCAAAAGGACAAAATGACATGAAGACAAGAGTACCAACACATAGTTCTAGTGTCAAATAAGCCAGATATGCTGGTTTAAGGATTGACAGCTGACATCCCCCAGGCAACATCTAGTCCTTGGAGAGATACCACCTTGTCCCATAAAAAGATGTAAGTAAATTGCATCTCTGATGACAGTATTTGAGGGAAACCTATTTCTAGAGGGCTTGGGGTGTTTTGGAATAGAAGCCCTCTGCCATCCCCACCCTTTGACAATGTAACATACTGACAAATGTATTACCTTGCAGCCATTGTCCCAGAAAGACTTGGGAAGTAGGTTTACTGGAAGGTGGGTCTTCACCATGCGAGGAGAGGGCATCTGAGCTAACTGTTCTGTGCCTTGCAAGCAAAACAGTGAGAGATGGTAAGGCGTATCATATAGACACTGTCAATGTAGAAAATAATTGGCAACACAGGAGGCGTCCTTTAAACTGACTACAGATTTTGGTGGGGGGGTGCCTTCAAGTCAGTATGGACTCCTGGCACCATTTAGTTGTATTTAGTGGTTAAAAGGGAGGCTATAAGACCACTGATAAACATTGAAAAATATAGTATGACTAAAAGAGATCATCCAAAGGTGAATGATTATTGAATTTTTACAAAACTAAGAACTGAACTCTACAATCCACCTGAGCAGCAGTCTCTGTACATCAGTTTCATGTTTACTCTTGCATAGCCTCTGATATAAGCAAGATTTAAAATCAGTTTCCACGCAGCTTTAAAAACCCTCAAATTGATGCATAGACATCCCTAATACATTGCACTCAGTGTTGCCTGCCTTTTTCCCAATTGTTGGAGAATTTGTGGGAAACTTGGCATATTATTATGGTATATGTGGCTAACCTCCCCCCAGATTAACGAGTTCTGGGGAGAAGTCTTGTGAGCAATTGAAGATACAGTGAGTTGAAGTAATCAGGTTTGCAGGACACTCATTCTTCTATGTCAAAGAAAATGAGTCTCTACATTGGGCCTATACAACATGTAGCCTGCCATGCAGCCTTGTGCAGGCCCCCCAGCATTTTTGAAAAAAGTCAGTAAATTCACTGTTACCACCACCCCAAAAGGCGCACTGCCAAATGCCTCCATTGCCTTCAGGCCTCACTGGTGCTACCAGCTTCAGCTGATCAGTGTGCCAGGTATTCCTTTGTAGCCTGCAAGGATTTTAAATTTATCTATGTGGCCCTTTCCCCTCTAAGTGTGCAGGCCTGTTCTATGTTATCATGTTTGCAGTTCTCTGCTGTTGCACAAAGTATGCCTAAACTGGAAACAGCAGCCCACTGGCAATCTGCCTTAGGAATGGTTATGGACAATGAGGAATTTGGATGTGGCCTCAAACGTTAAAAAATATGAGAATGTTAAACAGATGTCTACCCGATCCAATGGTTTTGTTAACATAACAAAAGCAACATCACGCCATCGAAGTGAAGTTCTGCCCCTTTCATATCTCTGTGTGACATCACGATGCATGTACAAGCTTACAATGCATTTATCCTTTGTCCTCCCTTGATCCCCCTTTGTATGCTGCTGAACGTAGAGATTTGTCTGGAGGATATTTGATCTCTTTTTATTTCTTTTTACTTCCACTATCCATCTGGTGGACTCAGAAACTTCCTTTGAAAAATGGCTTTCAGAAATAGTATATTTTGCTTTGTGTACTATAATGTTTCCTTTTTGTAGTGATATATTTTTTACATCAAATTTAAGAAAATAACACCTGGTAGTGATTTTTCCTATGTGCTATTACTCACAGCTCAGGAGAAAAAAGGGGATCTATAACATTAACTAAGGAAATATCCTTGTATTCATATCCTGGATCAGTGCAGCTACTATTACAGATTAATTCCAAAAAAGCATCAAGTAAGCCTTGTAGGAGCAGGGTCTGATGGTAAAGCTTCTTTCTATGGGCTATCCTGAAAGCACACTAAAGGAACAAAGAGGTAAGACCGGAAGCAGAACATCTATTTGGATTGCCATTCACCGTTGTCACACTCATTCCATGCCATGCCATGCCATGCAAACTTCGGCTTCCCTTGCTTATATTAACACAACATGCGCAGATCTTTGGCTAATTTTCCCATGTTTTTTTCTCCTGCTTCAGGCAGTAAATGGACAAAGATAGACCTTCCTCCAAAAATACTTTACCTACATATTTCCACTCCTCACAACAGAAATGCTTTGATTCACTCCTAGAGATTAAATAAGGGAGGACAGAACTTGACTTGCCAGGTGTACCTCTGGCTCTTTTCTATCCTGTCTCTCTAAATACACATTAATAAGTAGTACCGAAGCTTACCTGCTGGCATCTTCCCTGGGACAACAAATTCTAACATAGGCACTTTATTGAAAATAGCATCTCTTTTGCATTTGTCAGGATCACCATCATTCAGAATCATATCCACAATTTCACTTATCCATGTTGTACCTGGAAACAAACAGCCCATTAGGTCTGCCAGAATTTGCAGTAGAAAAAAAAACCTTCATATAGTTAGGACATCATGAAAAGATGACAAACTATCAAGTTGCCCTTTCCTGAACTGAAAACTCACCAGATTTGGGATATGTAGATATCACAATATCATCTGGCCTGCTCTGGAAATTATCAATTCTATCCCAGTCAAAAGAGAACGCATAGACCATGGGAACACCATGGACCATCCGGCAGTCCTGACGAAGGTAATCCTGGGTAGTCATCCCTGGAGAAATGTCAAGCCATGTAGTCAGATAAAATAAAAAGGGCATATGCAAGAATATCCATTCCTTATCAAACGTTTGGCAAAATAAGTTGGGAAGCCTGATTTTGGCAGATGCAGTTGATTAGTGTCTGCTCCTTTGCTTGATTTCTGCTTCTGTACACATTTGTTAAACTTATTTTATCTTTTAGCTTTCTGATTAGATATTATAAGCTGTCTTCTTACCAACATTTCACATTTTAGGGCTTTTAAAAGCCAGTGTTCTATTCCCTTCCACACTTAATAAAAAAAAAATCACCTATAGTAAAATATTGTTAAATACACTCATACTTATGAGATTAGTTGTATAATTAGAAGTCCATCTTGTACTATATTATGATGGAAATATTTCTTTAAAATTCTAAAAGAGATGTTGTCTATGTGTTCAAAGATACTTCTCTTGCAACACCCCATTTGACTTTTTTATTTAAATATTCTTTCAATTTAAAAATAATTGAATGAAAAACTAGATAGTATCATCTTTGTTTACAAGAATGCCCATGGGCCCACTGGCATTCTTAGAAAATAAAAATGATGGCTGGGATAATATAGATTACACTTGGGGTGCATTCATAATTTTGTCTTCTGAAAATGAATGTTTTGTGCCTGGTGGTTGCCCTCATGGAACCAATCCTCACCAGAAGTCATTTTGTGGGACCACCTATGACATGCTTTTAACATTTGAATAATCCACCAAGACAGAAAGATTACCTACTCCTGTATTAACTGTCAGGGTTGTATCTATATCTTCCCCTCTTTAAATGGGGGAGACAACCTGTTGCCATGTTATACGATTCTTTCAAGAGAGGTTGCTCTTTCCACAACTTTGTACTCTGTTAAATCATGTGACCAAGATTTATGTACCGGTGATAAGCTGGAACTGCAGATACCATGAAATAGGAGCACAGACACAGGAAGAGCTCAGGAGGAAATCAAAAGCAAACATACAAGTAGTAGTGAAAAAAGTCACAAGTGGCTAAGATTTTTTTAATTTGTTTTATATAATCTTTATTAAAAGTTTTAAGAACTATAATAAGAACTACTACAAACTAAGAACAGAGAAAATTAAAAAGAAAGAAAGAACAGAAAAGCTAAAAGTGCAATAAGAAAAAAAATAGAAGTAGGAAAAAAGAACAAGATATAAAGAAACTATTGGCTAAGATTGAAAGTTACAGGTGATCCTCATTTAACGATCACTCGTTCAGTGACCATTCAGACTTACCATGGTGCTGAACGAGTGGTAATTACAATGGACCTTGTACTTACGGCTATCACATTGTCACCATGGTTACATGATCACGATCTGCAACCTTCCCTGCAGCTTCCACAAGTAAAGTCAGTGGGGAAGCTGGCAGGAAGTCAGAAGTCGTGGTTATGTGAGGTCCTCACTTAATGGTCCATGCAATCCTCACTTAACAATGGCAACTAGGACTTCCACAACTGCTGTTGCTAAGTGACACGGTCACATGGTTTTTCGACTTATGACTGCGTTGCTTAACGAGGGGGTTTCCTTTCCCAATGAGTGTCATTAAACAAAGAGTACCTGTATTTTAGTTGCTTTCTGGAAGATGGGAATCCATATTAATATGCAGTATATAACAGCCACAAGTTTGGGATCTAACTAAACATTATGTAGTTATGCTGCTAGTTTTGACTACAATGCTCCTGATTTACATCAGGCCTCACACCAGTTTTCTACAGAAAACAACATATACATTAGGAAGCAAATGTTGCTGCTTGCCAGATTTGATGCAATTCAACTTTTTCTTTAGGATTCTCATCAACTGGAGTCTGTCTGCTTCTCATATGATGAGCATAAATGTACCGTAGGCTTAATTATTCAGGGCTGGCACATGAAAACTTGGTGAGACTGGGCAATTTCTAGGGCTTAGAGTTCTGAGTTAACAATCAGTGTCTGTATCTTGTGTTGGACCCAACATGTTTAGAGGCAGTACAGTCAGCCTGGATTATCTCTGCCCTCCTCAGCACCAAGATAAAGAACATCAGAATAAGCCATCATGAAGCAAAGACTGGACACAGTGCTCTGTTGATAGATTCCACTTTTCCTGTTATTTATTGGCCATACTTTGATCAATTTTTGTACAAAAGTCAAATGCTATCCTAATATGCTCATCAAAAAGTTTATATTAGGGAAGATTGTATATGAAAATAAATGTGATTTTCTTCCAATAAAATGACTGTAGAATAATGTAGAAATATGACAGGCTGAAGAAGATGAATCCATGTAATACTGAAATAGATTAGATATAGACTGGTCTGTAGATTCTCAGTTTATAGCTGCAAGGATAGGAACAGTGCTATCGGGAATGACTGAGAAATACCATTTGCGTACCAGGTTGATCCCAGAGGGCATCCTTCCCAAACTTGTTTTTTTTAGATGTTTTCTATATCAACATTTATCCCTTCATCAGCACAGCCATTGGTCATATTGTCTAGGGATGATAACAGATGGAAATCCAAATATTAAAAAAGGTAACATGCTGGGGATCAGTCAAAGATAGGGAAAGGCTGCAAATGATCAAGAACTCAAATCACTGGGGATTTGGTTAGAACTGATTCCAGTATAAACTAATGCAATTGTTGCTAATGCAGTGCCCACAGATACCAGGCCATCAATATAATCCTCAAAAGATACCAAATTGCTGAGATTTTATGTAAGATCTCAAATGATTTTTCTTTTCTTTGAGTGGAAGAGAGAGAGAAAAGAAAATTTGGCTGAGTTATTGTGTATAAAATGGTGGGATGGCTCCCAACATCAGAAAAATCCCTGAACTATGGAACACAGAGATCGGAGCACCAATTTAACAATAACATGAAGCCAAATGGATCTGAAACTACATTAGAATATGGACTGTTAAAATTTATTTTAGTAGAAATACCTTATTTGGTGCTGTTCCTAATGCTCTCCACTCTCTTGTGGAACATATCTTAGCAGATGCTTGAAGGAGTCTCTTGAAAAAAAGCTCTTTCCTTCAGTTGCTCTTTACTGAGTTCCCAGAAACCCCAAGGGCAAATTTAGACACCCTCCACATGTAAGGGCTGCTCCAACCTGGTATTGGCGCAGTTCCCTGTGTTCCCAATAAGACATGGTTTATCAAACTGCAATTTTCTATTCTCTCTGCATAAAAAAAACTATAGCTTCTTTATAAATGTCAGCCCTACAAGGTAGACCAGAATAAGAAAGAAATGCCATATACCATATATACTCATGAATAAGCCCATCTGTGGATAAGCCAACCCTCAAATTTTTAACCAAAATACCATGAAAAATGCACCACCCACAGATAAGCCAATCATCGAAATTTTCATACATTTTAATTTTCATAATTGGCTTATGAGGGTCAGCTTATCCGCAGATGGACTTATCCATGAGTATATATGGGTACATTAAAAAAAAAGTATTACCATTTATACTTGCAGATAAGCCCATCCACAGATAAGCCTAATCCAATTTTTGGGGTGTATTTTGGAACCTAAAATCCTCGGCTTATACACAAGTATATGCAGTACGTCAGGACTATTTTTATCGGAACAGCTATAGTAATACTATCTTGCACATCTGAATGTGCTTACCCCCTCCCTCACTTTATCTTTGTGCAAACTAGGGAAGGGCTTGTCTGAGGCATTTTCTCAAATCAGTTTCTTGGCCCAGGGTCAAGTCCCATTTGTCTGACTGTTGCCTTGGTAGCAGCTCTTCCTCCTGTCCTTCAAGGCCATTCCCTTTTTCCTCTGCAAGACCAGACCAAGAAACAGATACCATGTAGACCTGAAGATACTTTTATTAGAATGGCTGTAGTAACAGAATCTTGCAAGTCTGAATGTGCTTCCCCTCCTCCCTCTTTTATCTTAATGTGAATTGGGGGGGGGGCTGTCTCAGGTGTTTTCGTAAACCGCTTTCTTCGTCTGGACTCAAGCCTCATTTATCTGATTGTTGCCTTGGCAGTGGATCTTCTGTCTGTCCTTCAAGGCCATCCTCTATACTCATTACAATAATCAAAACTTGTCTTGATATTCTGGTTGACGGAATCTTTATTTAGATACTAGAGAGCCACTTTGCTGTAGTGGTCAAGGCATTAGGTTAGAATCCAGGAGACTGTGAATTTTAGTCCTGCTTTAGGCATGAAGCCAGCTGGGTGACCTTGGGCCAGTCACTGTCTTTCAGCCCTAGGAAGCAGGCAATGCCAACTTCCGAAAAACCTTGCCAAGAAAACTGCGGGGACTTGTCCAGGCAGTCACCAGGAGTCAAGACTGACTCAAAGGCAGACACAGACACACAAAAATTAGATGCTATGGGAATGGTAGTTTTGCAAGTGGAAGGCTTTATATTGGCTGTGTTCACCCAATACCTTGAACCACAAATCAGTCAATCATAGTTTAGCCTATGTGATATGCAAACTTACCTGGTTGTTAGTTTATAGTTCGGTGCATCATCACTATAAAATCAAGTTAACTGAGTAGACCATAATTAAGTTCACCATCACCTTTCTGATAATACTCTGATGGCCATCTTTTCAAAAACAGCACTGTAGCCTGAAAATAACTGATTCATGCAAAATCTTTGAAGCAGAAAACTTTGGAACTAAAAATATTTGTTTAACAAATAAAAATAAATTATACCTCACATAAGTCCACTGTTTTGCTTATCGGAGAAGGATTTTTTGAAGTTGGTTACTACTTTATTCTTATATAGATAAGTTCAGGCTGAGCATGTATTTCGGCATACAGATGTACCAGGCTTTGTTCCATGTAACATGTATTTCAGCATACAGATGTACCACAGCAACCTTTGTTCCATGTAACAACCTAGATTACACGTTTGTTGGTTTTTCACTCAGATGCGTGAACCCACAATTATGACTTGTTCTATAAACCATAATTTAAAAATTCAAAACACAATGTGTAAATTCATCTTAAGTGATTTAAGTAAATCAGGAAGTGGGGTTGCACTCCCATGTCAGAAGACTCTCCTCAGTATTGCTTCAGAGGCTGGATCCACTAAACCACTATTTTGTTAATAACCCACAGCTGACTGGATTCCAAAGGTAATCCAAAAGCACAGTTTACAAACCACAATAGCCAGGCTCACACATCGGGCAAGCCATAAAATGGTAACTTTGGGTGGAGTTTGCTTTAGTACATTGCCCGAAGCTGGCCACAAGTCCCACTCCTCCATCACAGAGCAATGGATTAAGGCCTTTGCCCCATTCACCACAAATCACTTTAAAGAAATCACAGCAGAAATAATTCAAACAGCCTCTCATTAAATTGTACCGTAGAGTTCTGCTACTAAAGCTATAAATCCTGACAGCTGATTTTTCCTCTTTGCTTTTTCAACTTTGGGAGGTAGGGGAGGAGGGGTCTCATTATTTTCCTGGTCTCAGATCACGAAAGAAGCCTGACAATTTGACTAGGGATTGCAGAAAACAAGCCCAAAGTTTCTGCAAGCCGTGTTACTTAACACTGCGAATTAGAAATAAAGCCTTACCTTGTCTTTTGTGGCCAAAACTGACAATGCAGTGTGATTTCCTTTCCAGTTCTACAGACTGGGAAGGAATTGTGGATGGTTTTAGCCAGTCAGAGGAAGAAGCCCTCAGAAATACAGCCAAGGAAACCAAAGGTCCCCATTGCCTAATCTCTGTGTGCTCAATGGGTGGAGCTGGGAAGGCAAACTGGGAGGAGAGCCAGTGAGCGAAGCTGAATTACTTGCTTTTTCTTGTCAAAGGAAAGGGTTCAAAAAAGGAAGTAGCAGTCACAGCGTGAAGCCTCCTGTTGCTGATTCTTGTTTTACTTTTCTGCCCAGTCATTTCCAAAAGATTCCTTCTTCCTTTCCCACCGACCTTTAGAAGCAGTTGGTGAAGCGGACAAGTTTACATATAGGCACACCTTGGAGATATTGTGGGTTCGGTTCCAGACCACTGCAATAAAGCGAATATCACAATAAAGTGAATCACATGAATGTTTTAGTTTCTTAGTGCATATAAAAGTTATGTTTACACTATACTGTAGTCAGTTAAGTGTACAACAGCATTATGTCTAAAAAACCAATGTACATACCTTAATTAAAAATACTTTATTGCTAAAAAATGCTAATCATCATCTAATAAACTTGCTTGACTCAGAGTTGCCACAAAACTTCGATTTGTAAAAAAAAAGGCAATATCTGTGAAGCATAATAAAGTGAAGCACAATAAAATGAGGTATTCTGGTGAGGTTCTTTGAGAACACAGTAAAGGAGTAGGGTGTCTTCTTTGGTGGTTCTCAGCAGCCAGATGTAGCTCAGTTGAATGCAGAGATGTCCTTTGATCCATCTGTCACCTGCTCTTCAGCACTGTGGTACCTCAGCACAAAATCAAAACTGCATCCACCCAAATATGGTGGGAAACATGACTTGGTTTCTGCCAGAGAGGCAGATTTGGTGGAGGGTCATAGAAAAAGCAGTCAGAGAACATACTATTCACCAATTTAGCAGGGTTACCAGCTCTTCCTCTGCTGCTTCATCACCCTGTTGATTGCTTGTTGCTTTGCTGTTTTCTTCCTGAAACAAGATGTCCAGAACAGCAACGCTGACCTCAACTGTTTCACTTTACAATTTGTACCTGATGGTAGAATTGCACCACATCTATAAATAAGATGGCCTAAACTTGCTCAGTAATAGTGGGATGAGTGGTGCTGAGTCTTCCATTTGCATCAGAAAATCTGGAGACGGCATTTTCCTGAGGTTCTCCGAAGTTGCTAAATGGGGGGAGAATCTGATCATTTCTGACTAAGGCCATTTATACAGAATCATTTTTTAAACCTAACCTCATCAATTAGGGAAGTTCTAAATAGCACAAGTATAGATCATATGAATAATAATAATTTCAAGCACAGTCCCTGCCATTTTTAATTTCTCACAGTGCCTAAGAGTGCCCAACATCAGTCACTCAAGAGCACTGGGAAAGTTGAAGTGACAATTCCAGTCTCAACTGTCCAATATGGAGGGCACAGCAAGTTTTGTGCTGGTGCGTTAAATACCACAGTTAATAAGTCTGGTTACACTATATACTTTTGTATTATGTTACTTGACCCAAGGCAGTTTTTTTCCAAGACATTTGTTGTTTGACAGCTGTTTGGTCTAAGTCTGGATTAAAGACAAATAACAATAAAAGGGGAGAGTGGGGTCCTTGAAATTCCTTCTCAGCACCACGGGGTCATTCTTTTCTTGAGAATACATGTTTGTTTTATTTAAAACAATTTAAATACACACATGCACATTGGCAAATACATTACAACAGAATAAAACAGCTTGATAGGTAGATCCACTTTCTAACATGTGGACAAGCATACTATTTCTAATAATTATAACAGAGAGATACTGAAAAATGGAGATTGGGGAAATAATAATTTTGATTATGGATCTAAAATGCATAAAAAGTCTCAAGCTGGCCAAGAACACAAGAACACTGTTGTATAAAATAGGTACTGGATGTTATATCCAATAGAGGTTCTAGCACAGCAGGTTCTCCCAGCAGGTTCTTAATTAAATTGAGGATCAATTATTATTAAATTACTGTAGAACCACATGCAATTCAGGACATAACAAGTCTCTAAATGGTAATAAAACCATCACAGTCATTGGTTACAAAACCCAGCTTGGTAGGCATCATATTTAGGATTAAATTTGGTGTGAAACACCAAAAGTGGGAGAAGAAGCCTACCTCATACCATGTATAGGACCGGGATTTTTATTCAACAAGCACTTTTCAAGATGTTAACTCTTCTTTTCAAATGAACAAATTAAATGGATCATTTTACTCATAAAGCAACAAAATAATTTAAGAAAAGAAAATGGATAACTTTAGTCCTGGGAAAAGCATCAAAGTACACCCAAGATCCTGGCCTAGTGCTAGATCAGAATGTATGATCTTGGAGACTAAGGGATTCCTGAATCAGTCTTTGATCTAAAAGCCAAAAATGAACTGAGGCCCCAAACTTAAAAAGCATCCACTAATGCCCGTGCCTAAAAGCAGTTGTAGAAGTCAGAACGAAGTGTAGACACAATTTTAGAAGGCTTTCAGAATGGTTCAAAATGGATAGTAACAAAAGAATCAGTAGTATATTCTGGAAGTAAGAAGGGAAAATTCATTCTTTTAAACCCTGAACAAAGATATCAGGGTAATCTCAGTGGAAAAATACAAGGCACAACTACACCTCCAGTTTGAGCTCTCAGATAACACTGCTCCCAGCCTTGTGGTTCATCATCCAAATACCCTTATTCTTCTCTTTCATCCACTATTACTGAATAAAGAGACTTGGCTGGTTCCCCTCTAACAAAGTTAGTAATTATTTGCTGAGATGTCCATTTAGCATGGGTGGGGAAAAGGTCATCAGCCACTGTTGCAATGTGGCAAGAAGGTAAAAACCATGCTTCCTGGAAAAAAACTATGTCGTAACTGGAGATATATGCCAGAAATGATGGAACTCTACTTCTGGATTTCCACCCTGCAACTTTAACCACAGTGCACAAGACAGCTGCCCCACTAATTGAATTGGCCTCTGTGCCCTATACAGAAGGCTGCAAAAGCAGTACTAATATGAGTTCATCTCCAGCACCCCTTGAAGACAGGCAACTGGACAACCAGTTTGCGTCACTGAAGATTTGAATACACCACCGGGAGACACAAATTCAATCCCGCAAATTACAGAGATTTCAGATCAGCACTCACAGGACTCTTAGCTTCACTAAAGGGCGCTCGGACATTTGATATAGGCTGCTCCAGTGCAGCGGTTGGCAGCGCAGGAGCCGCCGGATATAACCCGCCCAGTATTTCCCAGAAAGTGTCTACAGCAGTACTTTTGCCTGCCCAAACTGAATGACATTTAACTAAGATTACTTCTCTATCTTTCATTTAATGTATGTCTTCTTTTTTGGTGACAAATAATTAGCCACTCAATTATATTTTTAATGTTGTAAGATGGGAAGCCAGATAACTTGTTTAAATAATTAAATAAGTTATTGTAACCTGGAGGTTTTTCTTTTTCTTTCTGTGTAGACAGATGACAGGCAGAGAAGCAAGGTGTCTGTTTTCTCCAGCCAAAGTTTTCCCTGCTTTATATCTCATACTCATCTATAAAGAGAAGTTCCTAGCTGTAGTAGAAAATGTTTGCCCCCCCTTCTCCACCTGAAAACAAAAACAAAAACAAAAAGAACAAGATGGATTCTCTTGTATAGAAATCCACCTGCAGCGGCCTTATCAGATTTCTTATTCAGAGTTACAGTGAAGTGTTTTTTCCAGTTACTGACAATGAGGAAACCAGAATCCTGGGTCAGCTTAAGGCCTAGGACTTGTTCTGCAGTTAAATACCAATGCTGAAATCTCTTTAGCACAGAGATTGGTTCCACTGATCCTATCTGTTTCAGCCTGAATGCACAGATAAGACTGAGGCCATCTATTAGGTAGAGCTAATCATCATCATCATTTGGTACTTCTTTTAAATTGGGATGACTTTAAGAGGTATAAGCATTTTCATAATTTATTTTCAATCTGATAACTCTTACCGCTGTTGAGAGTACCTTGAAAAAATGATACAAATAACTCAGCAGAATTTAAGCCACTGTCCTTACAAGAAATTGATCTCAGGTCACCATTTTTGAGAAAGTGGTAGTTTAAAACAATCTTTTCTCATGAAGTGTGTTAGGCTATGATGCATTTCAGCAAATGTTGGCATTTCCTACTTTGAAGCTGAATTCTTCTGCATTTTATGGAATGATGTATAGTGAAATATTCTTTTTGTCACCTCATCTAGCACTTTTATTTCCAGAAAATGAATCACATTCTGCAGTTCCCTTTTGGATCCTGCAGAAAGAAAGTCAGTCCTATCTGCACATATACCTTTTTCCACAGAATGCTAGCAATTGTTTGCTTATTTATTGGTTTGCTTTCTATGTCCCCAAAATTAGGAATTTAAATGAAACCTGCCACAGATCCTTTTGAGAATGAATGTGGGTGTCTCAATTCTAAGGGATGTGGGAGGCGGGTAGAAAGAGAAAGAAAGGATGTTGTCTGCAATAAAGCAATTTATCTAGCCCTATCAAGTCTTTCAAGTTCCACTGTTAACTAGTTCCTGAATGCATGGTTGACTTTCTGTAAGAACAGAGTTTTATAACCATGCCTGATCTGAAGTCTACCATATCTAAGGGCCACTAGATGCAGCAAAGAGTTACTGTTTTCTATATCACTTTGCTACAATTTAATGGTCATCAAGGTTTTTGCAACCCATAGATTGTGGTCCTATTTTTGCCATCAGTGGAAGAAAGCCAATAAAAAATATATCAACAACTATTATCCCAGCTACAAATGTGCTTTGGAATGAGATAGGCCTTGACAAGTAAAACGCAGCATGGATTTCTAGTTTTGTCAAAATCGCACATATATCCTAGTTATGAAATCCTTTGTCATTATTATACAGAAAGATTATCTGCAATAAATAGGTCCGTTAGGAATAAAGAAAATACAGTGATGTAAAAGGTATTTATGAAGTTGAAATCTCTCCCAGCTGCAGGGTTTCTGGTACATGTATAATCAACCAGACTAATACTTTGTGGTGGCTTAAAGTGCCTTGATAATGGCAGGGAATTCTA